CTATAGGGTGACCTTGGTCGATTCACGTTTTAAGGTCACATTAGGATATATGATTGTGATGAAGGGCGTAAGGAGGAATAATTTATATTATTTGATTAGGAGCACGATGTTTGATAGAGAGCTGACGACTTCTTTGGATTTGGCTAGACTGTCACATTTATTGAGACTGTGTTATTTGATTGGTTATGCTGTGCATGGTTTGTTGAGGAGTGCTTTGACCTACAGATTGAAGTCCTTAGAGCACATTGGTATGAGCAAGAAGACCGAGGTGGAGTTTGACACTTCTATCCATCGATCGAGGGGTCTTTTAGGTGGTGTTCAGTCAGGCATTTGGGGGCCTTCCAAGGAGGCATTATTGGGAGGTAATCGATTTTTGGTTTCCGTAGTTGTGGTTTATTCTAGGCATTGGTGGGTTGCAACCAGGTTCCGTTAGTGTGAAGTTCTAGAAGTCAACAACAATTAGAAGAAGTGTATTGGCAGAAAGGTAACCCATCGTTCTAGCTTTGGTAGGGGTTCTTTCTTGCATTTGTGCCGAGCTTATGGCAGTTTAAGACACTTCATTGATGTGGAGACATTGGGGCGATGAGATGAGATGATAGTTTTGATAGGTCGTTCCTTACTGGAGGGGGATCGGTGTTGGTTGTCGAGCATTGGTTTTGGTTTTAGAGCTTCGACATACTTGGGTCATCTTGGTCATAGGTTGCCGACTGCTGCATTTGAAGATTTTAGATCTGGTAGAGCTGCTTCAGATTTTGGATCTGGTTTTGGTAACATGATTCCAAATCTATTTTGGTAACAAGTTATTAGGATTTCTAATCTGTTTTGTTTTTTATTTTAGAATTCCTAGTATGTTTATGATTTTAGGATTTCTATATATATGAAACAAAGAGAGAATGCAGCAAGAAATTGAGTATATTTGGAGCACAGAAAAGAGGTATTTTCTGAGCTATTGGTTAGGGTTTTATTTGGAGAGAATTAGAGATTTGTTGGTGAGATTAATTAGTGAGTTTGAGTGATTTGTAATCTCAGTTTGTACTCTTCTTCTCTATTAGTGAAAAACTCTATCCCTTTCTTGCCCTGTGGACTTAGGCAACTTGCCGAACCACATTAAAATTGGTTGTTTGTATTTGTGGCATTGATTTGGTTCATTTTGCCTTCTTTCGGTGTTTGTTTGATTTGGTCTCTCGAAGCACATCAGTTTGGTTTTGACTTCCGCCGCGCACAACACAAATAATGCCACATGATAAGTACAAGTTAGATGAAATTATAGGGTACTATATAAGTGCTAATTAGCCCTGAGGTTTTACATGGAATGACTAACTACGTGGACATGGGCCAAGGGTCCAAACAGTCAAATATTGGGCATAAGAGCACATCATCTGTCATTGCTGCTACTTTTTTACTTTTTGATGCACGTGCATCGTCGCTAGTCTCCTACTCTTGAGTAGTTGACACATGTACAGTGTGATCTTTTTGGATCTGACACAGCAACTGCCTCTTTTGAACCCTAAGCCCTGCTACTTGCTGGATAGGGTCAACCAAACTTTGGCCAACTCGCTTCTTCATCGCGTCAAAAGCTTCGTCTAGTTCCCATAATTAGGATTCAAAGGAAGAAGGCAAAAAAGGTTGCATTCATTTGTAGGGGCCTGGAAGTTGTAATCTTTGAAGATCTTCGGCAGGGCACTCATCATCATTAACATGCATACTAGGCTTGAGGCTCTAGTTGTCCCATAAAATGTTTTTCTTTTCTTCTTATTATCTAAAGTGTTATATCTACCCCTATTCATTCCTTTAGTTGATCAGCTCCAGTAAATACTTTAGGAGGTAGTGTGGACGACTTTAATAATTTAAAGAGTAATGTGAGATTAGAACCAGTATGGAAAACAAACAACGATATAATAGGTTAGGGGACATGTAAAGATTTCAGCCAACACATGCTTTAGGAGATCAATAACAAATTTTAGTTTCTAAAAAACCAAGACTGAAATTAGACAATAGTATTCCATTTTCATTCTAGAGAAATTATTTTAGGGGCGGTTTGGTTAGGCCAAAAAACTTAGAAACCACCCTAAAAATTATCTATGGCAAAGTACACATCATTTTTTTAATTCATGTGTTTGTTTCAAGGCTTTTTATTTTTAGGGGTGCGACTTCTTAAAACGTCAGCTCCACTATAATTATGGAAAAACTATTTTAGATTTTTTTATCGGAAATGTATTGGATAACAAATAAAAAAGAATAAAATATTAAAAAAGTATGAGATTACTTTTTAGGAACTGGGTTCTTTTTATGACAAGCAAACAAGAAAAAGTCAATTCTAAAAAATGGCTAGAAAACATAAAAAGTGA